AACCAACTCACTATTACATTTTGAGAAGTACCACTGCAACATGGTAATAATAGTAAAAATGCAAATGTATTTTGTTTTCTGTTTAATTCAATGACCCCTTTTACACCCTCCTGTTCTGCATGTGCCAAGTATACTAAAGCTTTAGATGTGCATTCCCAGTGAGCTCACACATTAGAATTATGTAGATAAAATAATTTAGTCTGAAACAGAGGTCTGAGCAAATTTTTGTTTTATTTGTTTGTAAAACTCCCTTGGTGAATCTAATCTGTAGGCAAAGTTGAAAACAATTGGATCATCCCATTTATTTTATACCTGAAAACACAGTATTGTGTGTTCTTTTACCGTGTTACAGGGGGATGTGCAAGTGTTTGCCAAAGTTGGCTTTACACTGCGGCTTTTGAACTTCATTGTCTTACTCTTACGTTTTATAATGCAATGTTTGGACCTCATGGGGTAGCTGGTCCCCAGCTCCTCTCTGTATGATTGCTCCCACATCATTACTCTGTGGAAAAGCCTAGAGGGTCAGGTTAAAACGAGAGAGAGAAAGGAGGAGAGCGGACTCAAGGGCATGAAGGTCAGGCAAGACGGGGATGGAAAGATGCAGGGTCATTTAGCTGTCAAAGTATTGTTGAGAGGCACAGTGGAATCAGGTTTTCATCCTGGTGACCTCATGTGATACACAGTTTTCCAGACGCAGTCCTTACAGGAGCAGATTTCCAAGCTCTTCTTCTGAGCAAAGGCGCCAAGAAGAACAGTCAAGCTCAATGCTACTGGGTTGATTCTGACTCATAGCAACCGGGAGGGCAGAGTAGAACTAGTTACCTTTGTGGGTTTTCTGAGACTGGGACTTTCATGGGAGTAGAATGGCCCATCTTTTTCTTGAGGACCACTTGGTGGTTTCGAATGGCTGCCCTTGTGGTCAGCACTACACCAGCAGAGGTTCAAAACCCATCAACTTTTAGATGAGCAGGCAAGTGCTTAACCAGTGCACCACCAGAACTCCTGCCATAAAACTGATTCCCCAGACAAATATTTCAGTGCAGCGCTGAACTCGCTCATGTTACTTAGAAACAAGGTAATGTTGATGAATGACAGAGGCAGTCAAAAGCCTGTACACATCCTCACACCCAGATTAGCAAATGGACCTAGATGATCCGAGCATGTGTGCTTAACAAAAAGCACATTTGATATAGCTCCGCCTTGACTAAGCAATCCACTCGTTATGGGCTGCTCTAGCACGGCTTTCCCAAGTGTGCACACGGTGTGCACATTGGTGTGAGCAGGAGGTCGCTTGGAATCTGTTTCTCCCCATGCAGGGCGGCCAATGAGAGGCTGACATGGGGAAGGTTCCAACAGAGTCACAGAGGATGTGAGTCATGTCGTCATGTTCATTTCGGCAAGCCAGGAGTGGATTTTTAAAAGCATTTACCATAAATGGATCCCGACATCACCATCTGTTCATGTTGGGGACAGGAGATAATATACGGCCATTCTTTATTTTATAAAGATTTCCAGGGAGTAACTTTGAAAAAGAGTGCTTCTATCTTCTGAAATGTGTACACATAAGTCAAAAGGAATGGGAATTTGGTTTTTGTGGTTGGTGGCGGTGGCGGTGGCGATGGTGGGTTTTTTTTTTTTCCCAAAAAACTATCCTTGAAATAGTGCTAAGCCACTCTATTTGTCAGTTGGCCCAACTCCAGGGACCAACTTTCAAGCAGCACTGACAATCCAAGTGTACAGCTGAGCTGCAGATGTTGACTTTGAAAGCCGAATTGAACTGACAGACATGTGAAATGGCACATAGGAAACTCCCCACGAGGGTCAAAGAAAATCCTGGGGAGCCATAGTTAGGAAATGGCAATGACTTAACCTCGTCTGTTTTTCCATTTTATATGATCTAGTTTCTGATACAGAAACTTAGCTTCAAGATCCTAAAGATTAGGCTCACATTTATAAATGCCTCTTTTTAATGCAAATGCCAAAATTAGAGACATGGAAATCTGCCTTCCCAGAAAAGCTGACATATGAGTACACCTTATTTCTGTGGAAAAGCAACCTTTCTTTAAATGGTAAATGACAAGCTGTAAGTGCCTTGCAGCTCCAGATGCATCACCCTTAAACTGGTGAAAAATTTTAAAAATAAAAACACAGTTGTAACAAACCATCATAGTTGTGGAAAATAAATAAATGTAAGTACATATTAGGGGGCCTTAAAATGTTCATGAAAACTTCCAGTATCTTTTCATTCCATTTCTATGAACTTTTTGAAGCCTCTTCGTAATTACTATCATTCTCATAAAAGCTCTCACTGCCACTGAGTCAGTTTCAACACATGGTGACCCTATCGGATAGGTTTTCCAAGAAGACTGTAAATCTTTATAGGAGTAGAAAATCTCAACTGTCTCAGGTAGCTGGTGGTTTCAAACAGCCAACCTTGTGGTTAGCAGCCCCACACGTAATCCACTATGCCATTAACTCATGGAGACAACACATCTGCAGAATAGAACTGTTCCCCATGGTTTTGAAAAGGCAGTCAGTCCTGTCCCTCAGGCGCTTCTCAATGGGTTCAAACCACTAACTTTATGGCTAATCGTTGAGGGCTTCATCATTTTAGGGCTACAGTACCAGGAACTCTTAAGTTAATAATTAGCTCCCTTAATTTTTAATATAAATTATTTTCATTTTAACCTTTCATTTTACCTCATGCTACATTAATCAAAATCACAATGTTTTAAAATATTAAGGTTTTAGCATTCTTCCAGGACTAGAGATGAATAAGAAAATGAACTGAATTTGCATATATGAAGAAAATGTTAATGGATTTTCTGCTTGCATTTGTAGTTTTGAAAAATCTGCTGTTTTAAGGCTGTGAGCAACCTTCCTCTCCTTCCCTCGGGTTCATGGATCATCGCTTTCACTGAGTTTAGAGAAGGTGAGACTACTTGCAGAGTCCGTGTTGACTGGTGTCTGCATCTACTAAAAAATTCAGAGGACTCTGCCCCCTGGTGGAAGGTTGAAGAATGGGTTTTGATGAAAGGTGCAGAAGCGTCAGGCCTTCCCTATCGGTTTCTTCCCTCCAGAAAACTAGCGCGTCACCGTTGAAAGTTTGTGCCTTCACTAATTATGTATTTACACTAACATTTTCCTTTTATATAATGTACAAATCCTGGGCCATCTACTCAACTCACCACAGGTAAAAAAGCATCATTTTAGAAAAACACATCATTCTTCTATGGCCATCATTACTTTACGTAGGTAAGGGGGCAAATGGAAATGGGATGCTGAGGAAAGAGGTCATGAGACAGGAAACACTGCACAGTGGAAGACAGCCATTCTTCTGTAAACATGGAGGAGAATTCAGACGTGAATAAGAGCGTGCCACATACGCTCACTATGAGTCGGAATCTATTGGATGGCAAGTTTTGGGGTGTGGGATTTATTTGTCTTTTAATAGCATTACTGAAGGACCTTATAGGTTAGGTTTCAGTTTGCTAATAAAAGGGTGGGCAGTTCAAACACACCAGGTGCTCCTTGGGAAAAAGATGAGGCTGTTGGCTCCCTTAAATCATTGACTGTAAAATTATGAGTCAGCATAGCTTACTGAGGAACTCTGGTCGCACAATGCTTAGGCACTCAGCTGCTAACCGAAAGGTCCGCTGTTCGATGCCATCAGCTGCTCTGTAAAGAGTCCTGAAGCAGGCCGGTATAGCTATGGCTAATGAAGTAGCACTGCCCCCAGAGGTTCCCCGAAGCTGGACTCTTCCCAGAAGCCAACTGCCACATCCTTCTGCCGTGGAGCAGTCGGTTTACATCCCTTTGGTTAGCAATGGAGGGGTAAGCACTGTGCCACGAGGGTCCTTTTGGAAACCCTTGGGGGAGGGGGGTGTCCATTCTGTCCTATAGGGAGGATACTGTGCATTGGAATTGGCTGGAAGGCAATAGACCTGGTTTGGGTTACAAAGTACTGGGTGCAAATTGTCAATGCACTTGACTGCTAAGTGAAAAGTTGGAGGTTTGAGCCTAACCAGAGCACTGTGGAAGGCTGGCCTAGCAACCTGCTTCAAAAATATTAGCTCCACTGAAAATCCTGCAGAGCTCAGTTCTACTCTGACACACTGGTGGTCACAAGAGTCAGCCTCGAGTAGATGGGGAAAAGGTAAGTGGTTTGTGGGGAACTAAATATATGGCGATTTTCTTTAAGTCCTTAGAGCTATTAACAACAACAGTAAGTATCTCTCCCGCTGTCTTTTGGCCTTTAGGACTAGAGTCACCTGCCCAGGAGAGTACGTGTGAACACCTGAAGGTCTCAGTTCCTTTTTGTCAAGTTTCTACCATCAGGCTAGTTTGGTCCAAACGCTCTCAAGTGGCCCACAGTTGATGCTTGCCACAGACTCCCTGTGTACTGAGGAGACAGTAGGAATCAATACCGAAGTGAAACTACTATGTGTTGAGTGCTTTCACAGGTGCAGGTTCTAACCCTTTGCAGTAAGTGTACTAAGGTGCACTTGGGAGGAAGAATCACACAGCCATCACATGTGCTATATGCAATTAAAACCTAGGACTCTGATACCAGACACCATCTTGGAGTGCCTGGTGTTCAAATTAGTCAGTCTCCTCTTCTCAGGTCTCCCCCAAATGTGTGCTTAACCCAGCTCCTTTTCCTTTTTGCTTTATTTTAAGCACCAATGGTACCTTGGAATCTTATGGCCATCACAGAGCCTACATATTCCAGGAATGCCCATTCAGAGAATCTTGAGATTGTGTGCCTAAAGTGACCATCTTTGAAAAAATGTGTCTTTCTAAATGCTTCCTACAGCTGTAAATGAAATACTCTAAATCATGTCAGTATGTGCCAGTCTTCTACAATATAATTTGTCATCAGATTCCTATGCTGACTCAACCTTCTGAACACACAACCCAGGTCCGCTCAATGAACCTTTTCATACTAATAGGATTAGAACCCATGCTTTTTAGAACACAAAAGACTTTATTTCATTATCTCTTAAATTTCATTTCCTATTACACAGTTGTTGGAAGGTGAAATACCAAAGGCAATTTTCAGTCACAGCAACGCCATCAAATACACATAATCTGAGATTTCAATACTTGAGTAAATTATAGTTCTTTTAGGGTTTCCTGATTAAAGAGAAAATTAAGGTCACAAAGGAGAAGTGAAGAATACTTTTCTGTAGGAAATTTGTTGAACTCAGTTACCATCCACCCATGGTGCAGTGTCCATTTTTCATAAAGGAAACTCTAAAATCCCTAGAAATGCAAGACAGTAGTGGTATCTCTGGATGAGTATACATTCATATATTTGTGTGATAATCTGTGCAATTAAGCACTGTGGAAAACTATCTTCATCACAGCCAATGAAACTAACTTTTCATTTCTGTCAAAGTTAATCATTTCCATCTTCCATTTTATGATCTGCAAAACAGCCAAGTGTCTAGTTTATAAAACAAACTATGCTATAGGTAGCTGTAACTGAAAAGGAGTTTAACAGTCTTAACTACATACTCCTGGGATGAATAATATACTTTGCATAATCATGTGCAATGCTGGAGGATGATTCTTGAGCTCTTAAAACTACAAGGTTTGCAAGCTTCTATTTCACACAATATGCTCCAAACTCTGATCAAGTCAGCCAAATATTCAAGCAAAAATTGGTATGGGTAATCTACAAAATGGCAAAGATCCTCTGGGACTAAAGTGTGCTTTACTAATATGAGGGAGGACACGGTCATTCCAGGTGCCCTGTAAGGAAAATATTCGTCATTGTTTCCATGTTTCCCCTCTCAGGCTCCTAGATATTGACTAAATTGCCTTGTAGACCCAAAGAAAACACAAATTGCATAAACAGAAGACAAACATATTAAAACACAACAAACACCGGGCTTTATGCACATTCCTACCAGTAGCAAGCTAGATTTCTCCATAGGAGAAATATCACAAGCAATGAATGAGTGCAGAAACTTGGGGGTCCAGGTGAAATACAGGATTAGCTAATGCTGAAAAGTTTATCTTATTCCAGTAGCAGGTATAAATGGTGATCAAAATTCCCTTTTGGTCCTTTGCTCACATTTGCACTTTTGAAAAGTATATTTTTAAGTCATTTCCCCAGAGCAGAACTCTGCCCAAGTAGGCAGGCTGTGTACTTTAGCTGAATACATCCATTGTCTGACAATTTGGACTGGGGAGATTCAAGCAGAGAAAGACTCCATTTTACAAAGACAACTTGCTTCTAGAGACAAAAGGTTATCAGGTGCAAGGAGCCACGCTGAAGAATGGGGTGTGGAGCTTCTCTGGAGATTAGGAGAGTACCTAATACACTGCATAAGACACTTTTTCCCCCTGTGCATATGATTCTTTGGGACTAGTGCTTTTATATATAGATAATGCTTCCCTTTTGCTTTTCATTTTTCAGGGGTAATCTTTCCCTGTACTGTGAAGTCCTCACAGTAAATTTCAGATAACACCCAAATCTTGGGTGCATCTCAGACAACATCTAAGTCTTGTTGAAATTTGAAAGGGCACGTACACTTGAAAATCTTTCCAATATTACACCCCTGAGGTGTCAAGTCAGTGACAAGGTGCAGAGGCTTCCCAAGTTTTCTGACTGCCTCGTAAACCTCAGGGTTTGTCCCAGGAGTCACAAGGAAAACAGGTGCAATGTTAGCGCTGCTGCACTTTTCTAAAGCTTTTGCACTGTCATTTTGTAAGTCTTTGTTCGTGCCCAACCTTCAACAGCCAGGAACTGAAACAGGTGCTATGTTTGGGTTTTGCTTTCATATACTTGTGAGGGCTTTGCCTGCATTGTCCAGATGAGAGCCGCTTCTCTTGGTTACGTTACATGTTAGCATACAAGGGAATTACAGATGGAGAGTGCAAAGGACTGTCAGGAAAAAGTCTCATGCATTGTAGATTGTTTTTTACAAGTCAAAATATACATTCTCCTAATGCCCTCCATTCCTAAGTCACATAAGAATCATTCCTATGTCACCGGTCTCCTTCACATTTCACTGACTTGGATAAGAAACAAATAAATGCTTCTCGTTGAAGAGCAGTATTTCTGTAAGATTAATCAATTTGCATGATTCCATTGGTAGCAGCTGTTTGGGCTGAGTCACCCAGCACACCCTCCATGTATGGTGATTTAAACGTGGAAAAGGACAGGCACATGAAGTTAGAAGGAGAAATAAAGCCATCAGCAGACTTTGGCACTAGCACACACCACGTCTTGTATGTGTTGTGAAAAATGTGGCTCAACAATCACTAATCAGGAATGGGAAAGGAAGAAATCTGCAGAAAACAATCAGAGGTGTTGGTTCTCAGTTAACTCTCCCCATCTACCATTCCGAACACCCACCCCACTCCATATCAATTGTCATAAAAACAGATTTAACATCAGGATTTTGTTGTTAATTCTTCGGGGTTTCTCTGCACCATCCAAGCCTCACTTAAGGTTTGAAGCCCCAAATCCACAAGCTCCTCCAACCAAGTTTAGATCAACGAAAACTGAAGATTGAGGGATGCCCAAGTAACTCTTCATAGGCGGAGTCGTAACACAAAGTTTCCCCGCAACAAAGGGAATTAAACATCTAGTTCAAGTAACTGCCAGGCTGCGTGTAGATCTGTCTCATCTGTAGGCGTCAGACAAGTCTAAGTACCACAGGCTCTAGAGGTCATCATCCATGCCACCAAAGCTGGACAAAGATCACCTTTCCATCAACTTACAAAGAGAGAGGCAGCCCCCCTTCAGATTGGTTGCTGCCAGGTCAGTGCTGAGCTGGAGGCTTGGGGGAGGCAAGGCGCCTCCTCCTTAGCAGGAAAGCCCTGCACTCCTTTGACCAGTTCTCCTTTCAGTGTTCTCTCTGTGGGGTGGGAGGCTGTCCTGGGGTCTCAGGATCCACTGCCCTGGCCCGGGAGAGACTCCTTCTGACCCAGTTAACAGTGAAAGAAGAGTCGACCTTACCTGCAGAAACCAGACCCAACAGGGTCCCCAAAGGCCACTTGGGCGACCCCACTGCAAATGACATGTCAACGTAGTATGCACTTAAAGCGGATTAGTTTGTGGAATGCTTGTTTGAAGTCCTCATTGGACATAGTGTAGATGATGGGGTTGATAAGGGAGTTGAGATAACCCAGCCATGTGAAGAAGTCAAAGATGGCCAGGTGGAACCAGCAGGCATCCTGGCAAATAGGCAACACCAGGGAGATGATGAAGAAGGGCAGCCAACACACAATAAACGCTCCCAGTATGATGCCCAGGGTCTTGGTGGCTTTGCGCTCCCTAGCGGCCATCAGTTTCTTCTTCTCCAGCAGGGCGTCGGAGACCCTCACTTTGACTTGGTTCACGTACACCGGAGACCCCGATTCGCTGGGCACGTCGGGGGCCCGCGAATTAATGGAGGTAACGGAGGATGTGGACCCAGGGGAGTCGGTTATCAGCTGGGCTCGGGTCAAGCGCTTGCCGGTGCGATTAGGCGTCTGTTTCAAAATCCGGGAGCGGGCTTCCACATAGATGCGGCCATAGAGGGCGATGAGGAGCAGGGTGGGGAAGTAGAAGGCGCCCACCGTGGAGTAGACGGTGTAGAGGATGTGGTCTGTGTTCACCACGCAGTCCGACACCTCCTCCTCGGCCTTGGCCTGGCGCCAGAAGAAGGGTGGCAGGGAGATGGAGATGGAGAAGACCCAGACCAGCGCGATCATGCCCGCTGCTCTCTTGGGAGTCCTTTTGGCCGAGTACTCCACCGCGTCCGTGATGGCCCAGTAACGGTCCAGCGCGATGACACAGAGGTGCAGGATGGAAGCGGTGCAACAGGTGATGTCCGACGACAGCCAGAAGTCGCACACCGCCTGGCCCAGCGTCCAGCGTCCGGTGACCGTGTACATGGTGCTGATCGGCATCACCAGGATAGACACGAGCAGGTCGGTGACCGCCAAGGAGGCGATCAAGTAGTTGGCTGGGGTGTGCAGTTTCCGGGTCCGGTACACAGTGGCAATCACGAAAGCGTTGGAAAGCGTGGTGGCTAAGGTGATCAGCGACAGCAGGATGACCAACAGCACTTTCCAGGGCAGCGCAACCGAGTCCTGGTAAATGTAGCCTTGGGCGCTGCAGTTGGGGGAGCGAGGGACGGAGAGGTTGGCCTCCTGAACCGCGGTCGCGGAGCCCGCAGGCGGCGGCACAGGCGGGGCGCACTGCGTGCCGGGCTCCTCCATGGCTCTCTGCCCTTGGCCAGGAGCACAGTTCTTAGGCACGGACCAGTGGGGCGGGAGCACGGAAGGACCTGGGAGCCCACCGCAGGTCTAGCCTTCTCCGTGGCTTATCCTCCATCCGTAGATCGCTCAAGGACTCCCCTTGCCCAGCTCCCGGGAGGCCACTGGAAGTCCTGGGCGCGGCAGCAGCCAAGGGCCGGCCGGCGCGTCCCCTGCACTTCCGTGCGCCCGGCGCAGTCGCTGCGTCTCCGGCGGCTCCTCTCCACGCCCCGTCCCCTCCTGGGCTGGGTCGGGACTGGCCCTCGGAGTCCCCTCCCGCTCCAGTTCCCAGGGAAGCCTCTCACGATGGGTGGGGGCGATGTTATTTGGGGAGGAGGCTGCGGCTAAGTGGGGTCTCTTACCCCAGTCGCTCGGGGCTGAGCGGCTCCCAAACCGGGACGCTCCGGGATCTGCAGACTCGGCCCGCAGGAGTTTCCCAGCTGTCGGGGCGAGAGCGGG